ACGAGTCAGGCAGAGAAAAAGAAATACCACATGTTCTCACTCATTGGTGGGAGCTAAAAAATAAACAAATTAATTCACACACATACACACACAAAAAAAACCGGGGGGGGGGAGGGGAAGAAGACGTAACAACTATACTTTTTTGAAGTTGTTACAACAAGCAAACGGAAAGGACATTCTTGGAGGGGAGGGGAGAGAGGGAGGAGGGAGGGAGGTGTTGGTGATGGGCCATAATAATCATATACATTGTATATTGACAAAATAAAAATTTAACGGAAAAAAAAAAGAGATGGCTTATAGATGAATATAATTAATACTCGCTCATGATGCCAACTTCAAAATTTTCAGAATACACTTAGCTTCTCCTGTATTTATAATCCATTATTGACTGACATTTATGACTCCCATCTGAATTAATCATTCTAAGGCATCTTGGAAAGCATATAGACATATGTGTGGATATGTGGAGATGAGGACACATAAAAAAATCATTTCCATAAACATTGCTATTATTATAACGTGGTTACAATTAACAACCACACATGAAAAAGAAAGGGAACAAACAGGATGTCACCCCACTTCTTTTCAGGAGGGTCTGAAATTACCCTTGCAGTGAACTTGAAACCTTTCACTTCAGGCAGGTGTTAAACCATTTCATTTGATCATTTATTTAATCAAAACATCACACAAATCATCCTCTTCCTTTCTTCTTTGGCTCCAAATACTTTATAAACCACAATGGGAACACTATCTTACAGCTCACATTTGTATGGTTGACATTTGTATAGTTTTTCAAACATTTTTAAATTAGAGTTCCCCTTTATGACATATGATGCAAAGAAACATCACCTACCCTAAGTATACACAAGGCCTATGACTCTATACCACATGACCACCTAGGTGTCAAGATTCAAAAGCAGAAACATGTTAGGGCTCAATTTTTAATACACTCTTAGCAAACTCTCCCTTTCTCTGTTCCTCAGTATTCACTTCAATTAATTGAGACAAGTTTAGTGGATAACTTTTAATGTATTGCCCCCTGGTAACAATTAAACACTAAGAAGTAAAATGTGAAAAAGTTAGTTTCCTAACCCTGTCTTTGGAGAGCTTTTGACCAAATTTTGATGACAACTGTAAGGCACCAAGTCTTAAGATTGTTCTATGGAATGTGAAGACTTATCTTCTTGCAAGCAAGATTTACCACTCTAAATTTTGTAATAGGAAAAATGAACCCTGTAATTGAAAAGCAAGGCTGCTGTTTCTTACCAACACCATCGTCATGATACAATAAGAGGTAACTGAGTGCATATTATATACGAAGCACAAAACCAAGCATGTTATAGACATTATCTCATTTAATAGGGTAGGTTCTATTTTACAGATAAATGATGTGCCCAAGGTCATATAGCTATTAAGCAACTGAGCTGGATTTGGACCTTAACCTTTTTGATTACCAAGTCTGAGCTTTTAACCAGCACAGTCAGGTAACTCCTAAATAGTTTCACGACCTCTCATTAAAATGAAAACCCATATTTCTGTGCCAAATAACAAATGCTACATATTTACTAAGGAAGAACTGCTTTAACAATAGATCTACAAGAATGCGTATTTCTCTTCCATTTCCTTCACCTTTGATCAAAAGGTATAGTAAGTTTTGTTTTTTTAAATATCTAAGGTAGAACCTAAAGCATATATGTAGGCCAAATATGTTCTCTAATTTTAGAGACCGACTTTAAAATTAAAAGTCAATTGTGCTTCTTCTCCAAAATAAGATTTATATTATGCTTATCTTCTACTATATAATGGTCAAGAAGAAAATGTAATGTTAAGTAAAGCTTGAAGTGAAGAAAACTCTTAGTGTGGCATAATAATATGATGTTAAAACCAACATGCTAGAAGTGATTTTTCAGTTCCATTATAAACAGAGCTTCCTGACCTGGGGCCCTTGAACTACAGGGCAGGGAGAGGCAGGATTAATTAAAAATATATACAAAATGTTTGTGTTTATGCATATTTTCCCCTAGACAAGGAGTTATAACTTTCATTGAGTACTTGAAATCCATGACTCCAAGAAAGGTTAAGAGACACCATCACAGGATTAGAATATTCAGTCACCAGCTATGAAAAAATTGTTTCAAATATAAATCAATGCTAATTCTAACAAAGTCTTTTCTAAAAAATTGGAGTATCCATGAAGTGCAGGCTGGACCTATTATTAAGATAAAAGAATATTCTTAAAAATCTCACCATGGATTTATTTGCTATAATTTCTAGAAGCCTCCTAAGTTACAACTGTTTAAGCAAAGAGAACTTAAGTGGTCAATAAAAACTCCAATTAACTGTGGCCTTTAGCATTTGGGTACCTGAGAATTTGCTGGGTGATTCACTGTCTCTTGGAGGTAATAATTCCCAATAGACCGAGGGAAACTGTTGCAAAGAAAAACACTCAGATAATAAATATTCCCCCAAATACCATACTGCCACTTCTTTTAAACAGATGAATACAAAACAGATGTGACACACTGCACCCAAAGATTTTAGATTGACATTAATATTAAATCAATACAAAGTGTAGTAAATTTCATATGCTCTATCTATTGAACAGTATGGGTCCAATAAATAGTTCAGTACTAAACACAGATCAGAAAGCTTAAATAATTTAAATGAATAGAAAAACCTCAACACTGACTACTTCGATATAAAGCATAAAAGGAGCTAAGAAGTAAGTATATATGGCAAGAATTAAATGAAACAAATCAAACTAGGAGTGGTGATGATTTTTTCCAGGAGAATTTGCTAAGAACAAAAGCTATATGTCCCCTCCCCCCTCCGTTTCTATTTCCAGTTCAAGAATAGACATTTGGCTAGATTTATAAGGTACTTTCTGTTTAATAGCTTATTGGGAAATTATTCCAACTATCTCTAATATATTTTGAGGAAAGCAAAAATGCACTTTGTACAAAATTCATATAATTTGTGATATAATAAGTATTATATTTCACAAAACAAATTTATCTCTGGTATAAACAAATTAGGCTCAAAATCTTAGCAATTCGATTATTTCATGTATTTTGCCATAAAGCAGACAAGACTCTGAGCAGAATTTATTATTTAAGGTGATTTTAACTGGTGCAGTTATAATTGAACTAATGTTTCTAGATTATTACAGTACTCCAAAGGCCTTTCAAATTGCTACAGTTTAGACAAACACCTAAATGGATACGTATGGTATCTGGAGCTTTATATATATGAAAGTTCATTTCAGCAGCTACCATTGGCCTTACTTTTTACCAGACCTATATGTTAATATGCTAATTATCCATAATTAAATTGTTAATTTTAAAAACATTTTATTTAATCAAGCACTATTTTAGGGTCTCTTTAGGTCTTTTTATTTTAAGAAAATAAACCATACCCTAATTACCTAAAAAGCAAGTAAAATACCTACAATATAGAGGCATTCACTTTTAAATTCATTTAAAAGATTTTTTTACAAAAACCATATGACTTAATAATGCTAAATTTTGTTATCTCAAGTAAAATGCAATGATGTTACTTACATAAAACCGATCATTGATCAACGTAATTGTTTTCTTTTTAAAAGATATATATTTAAATTACAAAATTGATATTTCCAAAGTTTGAGTCTCTTCAGTAGTGACAGACTGTGTGTTGTTGACCTTTTAAAAACAGGTTTGTGAGTATTTTTCCTACAGTGACCATTCTGGCAGTAAGAAATTAAAAATTTTTAAAAATCGAATTGAGATGGGAGTTTGGGATTCTTTTCACAAGAAAGGAAAACTAGCTTGTTTTTTTTTTTAAGTTATTGGGCTAGTAGTTTTCACATTCATTTGCAAGGCTACATGAAACCTCCATATAATCTCCTACCCTCTCCCTATTTCCCAAATATGAAAACAGCTTTATTGATTTTTCTGATTTTAAAATTAATTACATGCTTCCTTATGTTAACAAGAGAATTTAATTCAAAGGTAATTTACTTAAATGAAAATGCAGTTATCTAGCAAAATATCAACAATCAGCCAGGATATATTTCTTAAATACAGACTGATGTGTTTTTAATTCTTTACAGAAGCATACTACTTAAATGAAAATGCAGTTATCTAGCAAAATATCAACAATCAGCCAGGATATATTTCTTAAACTAATACAGACTGATGTGTTTTTAATTCTTTACAGAAGCATACTAAGAATTCCTCAAGCCCTCTCAATATCTAGCACCTTCTTCTTTTTTCTGCCTACAAAAAAACATGTACTGAACAGTTACTATGCTAAATACATTGCTCATTTCACTAAAATTTCAAAAACAATTTATCTAAAAACCATTCTGAGAAACATTCATATCGGGAGAGTTTAAATGTCTTGCCCTAAGTTTCTCAATAATTAATAGAAAACAAAATATA